GCCCTCTGTAGCTCTACCTCTCAAATAAATAAATAAAATCTTAAAAAAAAAAATTCTGAGGACTTCTAAAGATGACACAAAGGCCTTTGAAGAAATCTCCGGCTTGTGGAGAGCTGTTTAAGGCTGCAAACACCCTAGAAGTACATTTTCTCTAAGACTTTGAGCTACTTTGCTAGAAATTCTTGAAAAGGACTATTTTCTGGGTTTTTTTTGTTTGTTTGTTTTTTGCTTTGCCTTTTATTACAAGACAGAATTTAGGAAGAATCATAACCATAAAAAAGTTTATATGAGCCAGAATGTTCCACTCTAGGTATTTCATTAACATTCTTCCCTCTCCTCCTCCTCCTCCTCCTTCCCTCAAATGCTTCCCTAGAGATTGCACTGTGATTCAGTTTCAGTAATTGCCATCTTTTGTGGGGAAAGAAGTAATGGCTTAGATGGGGAGTGAGCTCCAGTGTGGAAGCACTTCTTGACCTGGGTCCCATAGCCCCAAGGAAAGCTGCACCTTTGTCCAGGAATCTGCCTGGTTCATTTATCATCTGTCACTGATTTTTGCCTGGGAACCAGAGACCAAAACTCCCCAGGGATACCACTCATACATTGTTGTGTGACCATGGTTTTAATAGCACAGTCCAGGAATGTCCCTTTTTTATGTTAATTTTCCTCTTTTTCAAAGAAAATGGCCCTGAAAATTCTGTAATTTTGTACAATGACCCTACTGCAATTAGCAAGCAAGGACAAACCCTGCCATTTGACTGCTTTGAAAAAACAAATGGAAAACAGACACAAATCTAGGGATGTCTGCAGCTTCAGCATTTCAGGAGACTGTTTTATCAGCATGGCTCTGAATACATATCTGGGCTGCTCTCAGGACCGTGTTCCTGGCAGCTGATAGTGTGCCCTGAGGCTGGCCCCACCAGTGGCACTCCCAGGAACGGTCACCAGGATAATCGGACAGGCTGTTATCTGCCATGGGAAATGACTTGTTTGTATGATTCAGACAGAGCTTCATAAAATTGGGGGTTTTCAGGTAGATTTTTTTATTGTAGTTTCTTTTTGATTTAGGACAGATGTCTCTCAAAAGTTAGGTTCTTACTTGGTTTCTTAGTGTTTTTAGCCACTATTGATATGGTTATGGGGAGTAAGAAGTTTTTTCTTTGTTTTTTACTGCATGTGTACTGTTTTAAAGCATATCACTTTCAGAGATGAACTCATAACTTAGTTTCATTATTTTTAAGATCAGAACCACATACTCATCTTGGGTATGTGACTTGGAACAGTTTTTAACCAAACTCTCCTTGCCTTGCAAGCCCAGTCTTGGACAGACAGTCCGTGGCGAGTGGAGAAGTCCTTAATATTGCTGCACAGACTGTTAGACTGCCAGAAAAGCAAGAGGATTCCAGGCTTGGCTTCGGAAAGGAACTTCATTCTTCCTTGTAGGACAGCTTTCCTTTATTCACACATGGAAAGATACAGAGTTTCCCTCTCAGCTGTTGATGGAACTGTAGCCCCAGACAGAGCTGAGAGGAACTGGCCTACTGTGCTGGAAGCGGGCAGCTCCTGCAGTCCCTGGACCTTTATTGCTTTTGACCAAGGAATTGTTCCATTGTCTACTAGGTTTTAATCTCAAGCCTAGTGCCAAGTGCACTGATAGCTCTTCCCAAAGCGAGGCCTGCCAGTTACATTCCACACAAAGCAAGGGCAATTTTTTTTCCTGATTTTTCTTTTTTTTTTTTCTACTTGATGAACTGCTGTGCTTTCTTAGTCTGAAGGGAATTTGTGATGGCAAAATGAGATAGAGCCTATCTCACAGACAGTGAGAGAAGTGAGGGAAGACAAGAAGTTGGATGGCAAGTTCAAGCACTATAGAATCATTGCATTGCTTGTTATAATGCGAACATCCATACACAAGTGTGGGTCCTATTTTTGTTGAGAGGTTAGAGTTCAGTCTGACTGTGAATTGAGACAGATTTGCAGAGACACTCACAAGACAAAATAAAGTCATGGTCAGGGTTGAAAGTCATTGAGCTCTCATTTGGATTTCCAATGAAGTTTGCCTTTGTAAACATTTCAATATAGGTTTAACTGCTTTTTAAAAGTCAGAATGGCACTTTATTTTTTTTAACTTATTCACTTATTTATTTGAAAGGTAGAAAGGATGAGAATAGAGAGGGAGATCTTTTACCCCTGGTTCATTCCACAAATGGCCTCAACAGCCCAGGCTGGTAAGGCCAAATCCAGGAGCCTGGGACTTCATTCTATTCTCCCATATGAATGACAAGAACCAAACATTTGGGCCATCACTCTGCTTTCCCAGGTGCATTAGCAGGAAGCTGAGACTTAAACTGGCACTCCAGCATATTAAGCCAGCATGAAATGGCAGCCTAGCAAGCCACAACACCGACCCCAGGATGGAGGTTCCTATCAGTGAAGTACTGATAGGGTAGAGGTGGAGTAGAGACTTTCATAAAAAAGCTATCATTCTTAAAGGAGTTTGGCTGAAAACAGAATGCTGGTTAGGAAGGACTTACAAAGTGATTCCCATTAATTATTTTTCCTTCTCACTGTCAGTCACAGTTTTCTATTTTCATCTCTTCCCCTTTTAACTGTAGGAATGTAGTTATTAACTTCTAGACTATGAAAATGAGTCTTCATCCATCAAGCCTCCAGACAGGCCATAATTTAGATGTTTTGCTGTAGGCAGTACTGCAGCCAGTACTCAGCTCCTATCCCTCCCATCAGACTGAAACTCCCTCTTCCCATTGTGGTGGTTGTAACTGTGATGAAGCCACCAAAGCAGCTCTTCTTGATGACATTTACATCAGAGGGCATAGTCTGTCCCCTCTAGGATGTAGCTTCATGTCAAAGGGTTGGTGTCTCTGGAGTAAGGGTAATTAAAAGAGTGTGTGTTTACATTTTCTTTCTTTGAGCTTCTTCGAGAAATAGTCACATGCCTATCATAACTTTGGGGGATGAAACCTAAGTAGAGCTTTTTCATATCTATGTCTTTTGGTATAAGAAATCATATATATTGCATAACAATGTGGTGTGTTAGCATCCATCCTCATCTCTATGTGTAAAACACATACAGTCTTGAAACCTTTCCTTCCAACTGTTACAAGTCTAAAGCAAAACAAAAATCCAAACAAGTTGCCATTGATAATCAATTGAGACTTGCTTACCTCATAATTTATATTAGAACTCATTGGAATGCTATATGAATTTAAGGAGTTATTAGTATTTTTGTTATCATTTGGACAGGAGAGGGGCAGATAAAGTGGGTAAATAAAAAGATAACCATTGGTAGAAAATATTCTACTTTATTAATAACAATAAATTACTGGTAATTTCATTTTTATTCTTGAGTTTATGAAGCAAAAAGACATTTAAAATATATATGAAACAAACAGAATAAGTTGGAAAAGTCAAGCCCAGCAGGATGACTCACCTGAATTTTGCAAACTATTTATCATTCTAGCTCATTATATAAAAATAGATTTAATATAAATTGCCTTTATACCATGCTTATAAGCAATAATAAAGTTTATAAAAAGCCATATTATCCATTACACTAATTATCTCTCTGTCTTTTTTATTTATTTGAAAGGCACAGTGACAGAGAAAGACAGAGAAACAGACACACACAGAGAGAGAAAGAGATCTTCCATCCACTAATCTATTCCCCAAATGCCCACACTGCTGGGTCTGGGCCAGGCCAAAACCAGAAGCCAATAACACTATTGGAGTCTCCCAGTGGATTGCAGAGTCCCAGGTACTTGGGCCATCACCGGCTACCTCTCAGGATATACATTAGCAAGAAGCTGGATTGGAAATGGAACAGGGAGCAGAACCCAGGAACTGCAGTATGGAATGTCGGCATCCCAAACAGTATTTTAACCACTACACTACAACACCTACCCCACATTTCTATTTTTAAACTCCAATTCTAGTTTTGCCCTTTGAAAGCAACTTTTTCTAGAAATAATTTTACACCCTTAATTGCATAATTTCTACTATGGTATTTCAAAAGCCTTTAGAAATTATTCTGCTTTTGTAAATGCTTCATTTTACAAATCAAAATAAATTAGATGAGTGAACCAGAAGTTCTTGTAAAGGAAAGATAAATATGTGTACTACATGTGAATAATAGTTTTACCATACATTGGACAGTCTTAATTCAGCATATTCCTTAAAAAAAGGAATTTTGTGAGTTTCTTTGAGATATTTAGAATATCTTTCTTGTGATAGAATTTCCTTTACTGTTTTGTTTTTTTTTTTAAGATTTTATTTATTTAAGAGGTAGAGTTACAGAGAGTGGGAGGCAGAAACAGAAAGGTCTTCCTTCCCTTGGTTCACTTCCCAGGTGGCCACAACATTGATCTGAGCTGTGTCGATCTGAAGTCAGGTGCTTCTTCCAGGTCTCACTTGGACCATCTTCCACTGCTTTCCCAGGCCACAGCAGAAAGCTGGATTGGGGACTATAACCGGCACCCATATGGGATGCTGGTGCTACTGCAAGCAGAGGATTAACCTACTGTGCCACGGCGCTGGCCCAGAATTTCCTTTACTACCTAACATATTTGACCTTTGTTAGGATCCTTTTTGGAAAAAAAAAAAAAAAAAGCTGCCTCTTGGATTCACAGTTAATTAGTTCAATTAGCCAGCATATTGTTTTTCTAGAGTAAGCCACTTCCCTGCCTTGACTTAGGAGTACTTGAAAATATTCATGGAAAATTGAATTAAAAGATAAGTTTATTTTGATGCAAATTTTTATATCCATGCATAGTTTTTTCATAATATACATTTTCCATGAACTTTTGGAAGCAAAAGTAAAAATCAAGCTCACAGTCAGGAATTATTAAAATTTCAATTGGGCAAAGATTAGAATCTTACATATGTGTTTTCTGGTGAATTCTACCTTTAAGGGAAAAAATGCTGTGTAGCAATTCTTTGTGCAGGTATAAATTTTGAGGTGTTCTACAAGTGTGCTCTGTTTTTAGGTCCATATTGCGGAACTATGACTGTCCCCAAAGAACTCTTGCTGAATACAAGTGAAGTGACTGTCCGCTTTGCAAGTGGATCCCACATTTCTGGCCGGGGTTTCTTGCTAACTTATACCAGCAGTGACCATCCAGGTATAGCAGATGAATCAACACAAATCTGTAAACCCTTCCTAAGATTTTTCTCTTGCTACTTATCACCATCTCAGGAGAGAATTGTGGTCTCAGGCGCAGAATTAAGATGTTAGGAAAGGGGAATTTAGTATCTTTGTAAGCAGTTGGGTTTTCACTAATTCATTTTATAGCACATTAAATTGATCAGTGGACTTAGGACATGGGATAGTGTTGCTCTCACTTTCCCTAGAAACTTTAGTATGTCTTTGTGGCTACCTCCTGACCCTTTTAAGGCCTGACTATTATCTGGAGCCTTTCCCTTGCCCCTTCCCAGTTCAGGTCATAAGCCTTTTAATTGTGACCCCTAATACCAACAGCATAGGAGGCACGAACAGTTTGAGCAGGATGAGGAAGACACTGCTGCACAGTGCCCTGACTGTGGAGCTGAAATTTGGGCAGAAGAAGGGAAGGGAAACATGAGCACTGATGAGAGAGAAAAGTGTAATCTGTTGCCCTGGCCTCTTGTACTCCGGGGTAATTACTACACAGCCCACTCCATGTCTGCTTAGGGTCGTACAGATGTTCAGGGTTTCTGCTCTCAGTCCACTCTGGCAGAAATACCCTGTGGAAAAGGGTGTGCCATTCATTTCCCTCTTTACCAATCAGATCTGGTTAATCCTAGCAGGCCCTAGCTTGGCCCATGTTGACTGTATATTGCTCTCTAAGATTCTTGAAAAGAAGTATGAAAAGAAAGAACTGCTATAGTGAGTGTGGAAAAATATGGGAACTCTACAAGGTTGATTGAAATGCACTGAGATCCACCTTGTCTTAGTTTCCACTTTGGTGACTCTAAGTTCAGATTTGTATATTACTCCTATGGCACCTGCTTTCTTAGGTGCTTGATCCTCACAATTAAGGCTGAAAAGCCATTAATGTTCTCAGTGAACATCTTGCTTCTGTGTCATAAATCCCATGAATAAATTGTTGATGGGAACTTTCTCTGCGAGCCACATTAGGCCTTTGAAATTATTTTCCTATTCTGAAAGGAGGTTATATACATGTTCCTTATAGACATGTAGTGGATAGTAACTAACAGGTATTGGTTTTTCTCTTGGAAATAGATTCTGTTATCATACATGAGACATTAATACTGAAACACCATCATTGGTGGCAATTATCAGTTTTCCTTATACAGGACAATTCAGATAACGAGGTAGTAAATAATTGCTTTTTGTAAAATTATCCCTTTTATTTAAAAATAAACTTTTAGAGAATGAGTGCCCTAATTTCCACTTGATCTGCTAATCACAATTATCTTTATTGATGACAGATTTAATTACGTGTTTGGAACGAGCTAACCATTATCTGAAGACCGAATACAGGTAAATAAAGTTGTGCTAGTTAGTCTGCAGTCATATTGCTAAACATTTTGTTTTCCTTGTCATGAAATCAGATAAAGTACCTTATTTATACTCAAATTGTTTTTAAACTTTTTGTGTTGTAACTAATGAAGAATATTTGAAATGTTTCTCATACAGCAGGAGTCAGCAAACCATTCTTTGTCAAGAGCCAAACAGGTTCTGCAAGCCACACAGTCTCCATTGCATCTATTCATACAGTCTCCGTTGCTCTTGTGGGGAAAAAAAAAAAGCAGGAATAGACACTCTGTAAATGAATGTGGCTATGTTCAATAAAAATTTATTTATAAAAGCAAACAGCAGGCCAGATTTTGCCCTTGGGCTGTGATTTGCTGAGCCCTGAGTTCCACTTTATACCAAGGAATTATAATTGAGTCTTGGGTGCATTTTTTTTTTTCCTGACCAGTACTAGTGTTTGGGAGTGATTTTTGTTAAGTCTTTTATTTGTGGGAGGGGAAAAAAGCATAGTAAGGGAGAGGTTTATTTCGTCTTTCTCATTAAAGAGCAGCCTACTAGAATAAGGAGATGAAATTTTCATCCCAGCCTTACTTTAACTGGAAACACTACTTACCCTCTTACTATGAGATTCCTTTCCTCATCTATAATGTGAAATAGTCTAGAGCCAGATTTGTCAGCCTTGGCACTACTGGCCTTTGGGTTGAGTGATTTGTTGTTATATAGGACTCTCCCATGCACTGTCAAGTGTTTAGCAGCATCCCTGAATTCCATGCTCTGGTTACCAAGTTGTGATGACCAAGAAGGCCTCCAGACATGGCCAAATGTCTCCTGGTAGGCAAAATTACCCTTGGTTGAGAACTATTGATCTAGAGATCATTGCCATGACAGCACTAACAAAAACTGTAGTTCTTCAGAGTGCTTTTAGTTAGTGTCAGGTACAACTGTCTGCACTTAGCATAGAAGTTGATGTGGATGTTTCAGCATGCTTACAGGGTAGGTTCTGTTAAAACCAAGGCCCAAAACAAGTAAGCAACTTGTAGCTAAACCCTTAATATGTGTACCCCAGTGAGTCAGGATTAATAGTCTATGATCCTAACTATCTCAGACATTTGAACATTCTGAATGAGATTAGTTTATGTGCAGAATTAACTCCATTGTTAACTAATATTAAGTCAACTAGAGAAAAAGCAAAAAAAAAAAAAAATGGAAATGAGCAATAATTCAGTGTTGTCCTGTAACGTTAACTCTGTAAACTGTTCATCCCATGTACACATGCACCAACATTCTCAAAGGTTTTTCCAGCTATGCCTTACACAGTCCCTGTGGTGATAAAGCCTCTAGGAATCAATTTTTACTTTCTAGACTTGTAAAGAAAGGGAATTTAATCAAGCATACAGCATGACAGTGTGGTATCAGGTCATGCAGTCTGCAGCCTAGCTGTTTCAGAGTTGTTTGACTAAAGATAAGATATCCCAACTAGTATAGGACTACATCCCTCATTCACAATTTTGAAATATAGAGAAAGTCTTGAAAGCCTTTGTAATTCATTTAGTGGCAACACCAGATCAATATCACCTAAATGCATTTGACAGCAAAATTAGACTAGATCAATGTGAGGCTATTTAGTCTTTATGTATCTTTGTTAATATGACTATTCATGTATTTGACAGAAATAATACTGGTTTTCATTAATGTGTGCAGATCCAATGAGGTCTTCCCTCATACATATCATTGACATTTTTTTTGTTTCTCTAAAATCTAAAAAAGTATGACTTCTGAAACACATCTGGCTATAAGCAATTGTGAATCTGTAGTAGGACTCCACTATTTTTATATCTCAATTTCGTGATTATTGCTGCAATGTCAAGAGTCAAAAATGTCAGCGGGAAATTACAAAACTTTTATTTGGGTTGTTTTAATAATTAGTTGCTGTTACACACACGTTGTGCCAAGTCAGCAAGAGGAAACTGAGGAAACTGAATAGAAACAAGTGCTATTTTGGAATCTGCCTGGGTTGGTACAATCTTTTTTCAACAAACCAAGTCAACAGCAATATATATAGAAACAGAGGCACGTGGCATTCAACTTCAAAGCCATCAGTGTTGTTAAAACACTTGAGCTTTCTTTTGTTTGCATGCTTTTCATAGATGTATATAGCCAACCCACCCTTTGCATCCTATTTATTTTGAAGCAACTAGTGATTAGGAAACTGAATCTAAGAGGGACTGTGTGCGATTTCAGGGTAACAGAGCCTGGGCCACCCCAACTCTGCATGGAGATCTTTTAAGCACACCACCTGCCCTGACATGTTTCTGGAAAATTTCTTGAGACGTAATTGTTGAGTGAATGGCATCTTAATCTTAAAATACTCTTTTTGTTCTGATAGCAAAAATAATTAACAAATGCAGACCAGTACTGTTCAATTTGATAACCAGTAGCCACATGTAGTGGTAGAACACTTATGTGGTGAGTCAAAATTGGGACATGTTATAAGCATAAAATACACCCCAAATTTTGGAAACTTAAGTACATAAAAGAAACTAAAGCATTTCATTGTTAACTTTATCTGTTCATTATATGTGGAAAATTTGGATATTTTGGGCTGAATTGAACATATTATTTTTTCCTGTTTCTTCTGACTTTTTTAATGTGGCTACTAGAGCATCTAAGTTTGCATATATGGCTTCCACTTATTTCTGTGTTTTTAGAAATCATGTTTCTGATTTATCATTTAAGCAAAATATTCCCACATGTTTTATGGAGCAGGGAAAATACTTTTAAAAGTATTATGTAATATATTGTTTAATTTAACAAAATATAAATTCTTTTTCTTTTTTCAGCAAATTCTGCCCTCCTGGTTGTAGAGACATAGCAGGTGACATTTCTGGGAATATGGTAGATGGATATAGAGATGTAAGTAATTGAGGATAAAGGCAAATAAGGGATTAAAAGGACTGAGTGTTGGTTACTCTGCCTGAATTCATTATGAAGTCAAATCACACGAGCTAAAAAATTCTAGATGGATGCCTAATTCTCTGTTCTCTTGTTATTCCTTCTTATCCATACTTTCTTTCCTATTTCTAGTATTTCCAATTAAGCATACTATAAGTGGAATAAAAAAAAAAAGACCCTTTTTAACTCCTGGTCATATTAGTTTTTATTAAGGGTTGTAGGTTAACATCCTTTCCATTGTAACTTATTTCTTTATTTTAATGTCCAGTCCAATTGGCTCCTGTAAAAGAGCCAATTACATGAATATTCACGTCATAGAACAGTGACATTGTGTCTGAGGGCAGTGAAGCCATTTGTCCTGATGTTATATAGTATTCTTCTCCTTTCCCAAATTCTGATTCCTAATGAAGCTACATGGACTGCATATATTGTTCCCATAAAAACACTGATTCTCAGAAAATAAGTTTTCTAAACTATATGTCATATCTTCAAATACGTAATGCTTCATTTCTTTTAGATTCTGATTTTTAAAAATTATGTTACTATTTAAATTAGTTGAGTTTACAACCTGGTTTATGGGGAGTGACTTGAGTTATTAGAGATGTGAAAGATCTATATAGTGATGGAACAGTTTTAAGTACTGGCCTGTGTCCTCAGCCATGGGGAAAAATCACCTTTGTCTACACATTGTATAGACTGATCTTTCCTCTCTGGTAGATGGCATGACACTTGACTTTAGTGTTTGCCTTGGCACATCCTGATTCTGGCAATAGCAAATGTTGTAGTTTTGCTTTTCATTTCCTGTTTCTGGCATTGTCTTTTGTTATGGGATTGACATGGGATAACCATTTGCCCTATAATTGTTTGAATCTTGAAATGATTTCCACCGCTACAGTTTGAAGATTTACTTGGCACTCTAGGAAATTAAGAGAAATAGAAAGTTGAAGTTAAAATTTTTTCCTATAGCAATAGAAACTTTTATTTAAAGTTTATTTATTCATTTTGAAAGGTGGAGCTACAGAGAGAGAGAGAGTCTTCCATCCACTGGTTCACTCCCCAAATGGCCGCAATGGCCAGAGCTGTGCCAATCCAAAGCCAGAAGCCTATAGTTTCTTCCAGGTCTCTCACATGGGTGCAGGAGCCAAGGACTTGGGCCGTTTTCTACTGCTTTCCCAGGCCATAGCAGAGAGCTGGGTCAGAAATGAAGCAGCCGAGACTCGAACTGGTGCCCATTTAGGATGCTGGCACTGTAGGCAGCGGCTTTACCCACTGAAACTTTTTATTCATTCTTATCTTGTTCTGTGCAAGAAACTAAAGAATTTTGTACAATAACAGAAATATCACAGTCCTTTCTAGTTGTAGATATTTATCCTGTCTCTTTAGAGAGGTCTCTTTTCCAGAGTAACAGATGAATGGCTTCCTCCATTGTAGATCTGAGTTCATGATCTGTAAGTGCTGGCAGACAGGTTTCCTATTTGATTCACTAACTGGTTTTGCACCATTTGTTGTTAGAATGATTTTATCTAGAGGGAAATTTGTATTTTGAAAGCTAATCTTTATTCCCAGCTGTCCCACTTCGGATTCATCTCCTTGCTAATGAACTTGAGAATGCAGAGGAAGATGGCTGAGTCCTTGGCCCTTGCTACCCTGGCCTTGGCCTAGCCTTGCCTGTTGGGACCACTTGCGGAATAAACCAGCAGATGAAAAATCTCAGTATCTTCCTCTCTCTCCCTCTCTCACTCTCTCTCTCCCTCTCTCTCTCTCTCTCTCTTCCACACACACACACCTGTAACTCCATAAATGCCTTTCAAATAAATAAATGAAGTCTTTAAAAAAGAAAAAGGAAGAAAGTTAATCTCTTCAAAGAAATCTTATTAGTGTCTTTTTTATATATGTTGATATGTGTATATTAGATACCTATTACTGAATAACAATATTACCATAAACTTGCAGACTTAAAACACTTAGTTATTATATGTATTAAAACATTTTTATCTATTTACATATTTTAAAGATAAATTTATTTATTTGAAAGAGAGTTAAGGAGAAAGAGAATCTTCCATCTGGGCTCAGTCCCCAAACAGCCACAATGCAGGGGCTGAGCCAAGTCAAAGCCAGGAGCCTGGAACTATATCCAGGTCTCTGATGTGGGTGGCAGAGGCCCAAGTGCTTGGGCCATCTTTCACTGGGTTCCTGGCACATTAGCAGGAAACTGGATGTAAAATGGAGCAGCTGGGACTCTATAAAGGTTCTATGGGATGCTAGCTTTGCCAGTGGCAACTTAATGCTCTATGCCACAACACCAGTCCCATATTTTATTATTTTAATTTATTAGTAATATTTATTAGCTTTCTCAAAACATTATCTCTCATTTTCTGTGGATCAGAAGTCTGGGCCTGGCACAATTGTGTTCTCTGCTTCCGGGTCTCCTAAGACTGCAGTCAATGTGTCAGGCAGGCCTGCCTTCTCATCTGAGGCTTGACTAGAGACAAATCATCTATTCACATGGTATTGACAGCATTCAGTCTCTTGTAAGTGGTGGGAATAAGGGTCTTGGTTTCCTCCTGGATGTTAGCTGGAGACTACTCTCAGGTCTTTGCCATGTGACTGCTTCCTTCCTCAAAGCCAGCAAAGGAGTCTCCTAGCAAGACAGGTTACGATCTCATGCAATGTTATCATGGAATGGTGTCCCCTCACCTCTACCACATTCATGTTAATGAGTTGGAAGAATGGCACAGTTTATGTCCACACTCAGTAATTTCACAAGGGGAAATTCCTCTCCCTAGAGGCAGGGATTAGGAGGGTTATCTTTAAGTTTGTCCCACAGTGCCTTCCTCTTGGGACATACAGTCAACTGTCTTTCCTGGAAGGGCCTTTGCAAAGACAACCCATATCCTGCAGGTCAAAAATGACATAATTTGTATAATCAGTGAAGAGGAGCTGTTTAAGAATAGGTGCTCTGTCTCAGGGAAGAATAGACTTTCCCAAAGACCTATTATGGAGAAGGCATTGGTTCATTCCTGTTGCTCCAAAAGGCAGAACCAGAGCAGTGGGTAAAAGTTAGAGGGAGGCCAATTTCTATGGTATGTAAGCAGTGCAAAATGAAACAGGATGTCTCAAGAAACAGTGCATTCCTAGTCTCTGTAATGACAGGTGTAGATGTTAACAACCATTTGTTGGGGATAAACTATCTGCATGTGGGAGGGAGTGCTGTGGGCTGGGGGTGAGGGTAGACTGAGGGGTGGGGGCATGTGAGGAAATTTACAGGTGTTTTTGAATTTTTAAGATTCTGTGATTGTCTCTCTTTGAAGGAGACATTGCCTCTCTTTAGGATTAACCACATCTATCCCCAGAACAGTTTTTCTCTTGGCTTCTTCTCCTAAGCCTGTTGACTATACCGTCTGCTTTGAAGTGTCACATCACTTACATAAATTCATTACAGTAATTCCCCTTCTCCTCAACTATTCAAAAGGTTGTAAAAAATGAGAGAGAGTGCATATAACATGGTCCCAATTTAGGTGGAGAAGGGAAGAAAGGAGAAATGGGGCCTCTTGTACAAACTCTATAAAGGTTAGAGAGAAATACATTATAATGGTGAGTGGTTGTCTCTGGGTGATCACAATATGACTGATTTTCCCTCCAACAATTCTGTAATGAATGCATTTGTCTTTTATTAAAAAAAAAAATGTCACTGGGGCCAGTGCTGTGGAGCAGTGGGTTAACACCCTGGCCTGAAGTGCTGGCATCCCATATCAGCACCGGTTCAAGACCCAACTGTTCTACTTCCAATCCAGCTCTCTGCTGTGGCCTGGGATAGCAGTAGAAGATGGCCCAAGTGCTTGGGCCCCTGCACCCGGATGGGAGACCTGGAGGAAATCCTGGCTCCTGGCTTTGGGTCCGCGCAGCTCTGGCCATTGCACCAACTGGGGAGTGAACCATCGGATGGAAGACCTCTCTCTCTCTCTCTCTCTCTCTCTCTCTCTCTCTCTTTCTCTCTCTCTGCGCCTCTCCTCTCTCTGTGTAACTCTGACTTTCAAAATAAAAATAAATGAGTCTTTAAAAATTAAAAAAAGAAAATGTCATTAATATGATAATTATAAAGACTAGCAACATAGGAGGAATTCATATGATAAGAAAGAGGAACATATTTTCGTAATTTAACTTTTTACCATCCTTCTACCAACATTTTTATGCATGTGCTTTATTCTACCTTACTGTTTTAGGTTCACATGTTATTGAATACAAGTTAAAATGTTGACTTTGTATTAAATTTGCTTTTAGTATGTTGTTAAATCTTTTTAATACAAGTTGATTTTTCCTAAATGAAGAGTTAAGACATTTCTCTAGCAAGAGATCAAGCAATTGACCATTGCTTGGGAAGCTGTTTTGATCCTACCTCATGCTAATCTGTTTGGGCATCTTTTTGTGGCATAGTGAACTTCGGGAATGTTGTAGACAATGCCACCCATGTGCAGTTGCCTACATCATGCAACATCCTCAGATATCCATTGAATTCCCTTTCCTGAATAATTATTACAATTAAATTACTTCACTTGAGTTCATATATTTTGTTTAAGGTAATATATTCACATAGATCAGTGATGTGGCTTTCCTATATTTATATCTCAGTAAGACTTACACTTCAAGAATAGCTAGAAAATAAAAGTATAAATTGTATTGCTATTTATAGGGGAATTTTTAAGAAACAAGTTCAACGAGGGGCCGGTACTGTGGCCTAGCAGGTAAAGCCACTGCCTGTGGTGCCGGTATTCCATATGGGCGCCGGTTTGATTCCCGGCTGCTCCACTTCCAATCTGCTCTCTGCTATGGCCTGGGAAAGCAGTGGAAGATGACCCAAGTCCTTGGGCTCCCTGGCTTTGGATCGGCCCAGCTCCAACCGTTGCGTCCATCTGGGGATTGAATCAGCAGGTGAAACTTTCTCTCTCTCTCTGCCTCTGCTTCTCTGTAACTCTGCCTTTCAAATAAATAAAATAAATCTTTTTTAAAAAATCAAGTTCAATGAATGAATTTTTATACCAAAAGAGCCACAACTTAAATAAATGTCAACTTTAAGTGGTTGGATGAGGAAGTGATTTTTTTTTTTTTAGAAATGAAAAAAGGAAATAGTTCTTTTTAAAATGCGAATGATTTTTATTATAATAATATGGTAGCTAGTTCTGGTAGCTTTCTTTTGGAGATGTATCCTATGGCCCACATTAAATGTTATAGAAAAGCATAAACCACGATTAAATGAAGTTCATAGAAAGGGTATATACCATTGGATTCTCACAACACTGGGTATTATGGGGAATGAGAATACTTGGCCAATAATGCTGCTAGAACCTGTTGTTAATTAACCTATGAACCTGCCCTCTTAGAACCAAGGATGCCCTGGGACGTGCCGAGCCCAGAGACTTCATCCCAGGGAGAGCTCCTGAGATAAAGGTTATCCCATTGCCAAGTAGAATTTCAAGAAAAAACAGATGATCCCAGGGACAGAGGGAATAGCTTGCAAAGCAGACCACAGAAGTGACTTGCTCTCATTCTGTGGCTTAGAGAGGGAGACAGGTCTGTATGGAGCTCACGAAGGGTATCGTGGGTGCCTTTTGGAATCACAAGGGACAGACCTTCAGGAAACCAGGTAACCTCCATTCTGACATTTTCATGGTCCAGGTGAATTGGGAAGCCAGGTCAAGAGCAGTGAAATGACTTGCAAGTACCTGCTAGAGGCAGAGGCAGAGGCAGAGCCAGGATGACAAACTAAATTGTGGAATTTAAATCATCTAGGACCTTGTGGGTTTGTTGTTGTGTTTTACAACTGGCTTCTGCATGTGTCCCCCAAACCAATGATCCAAAAACTTCTTAATGAAAGGAGATTCAGGAAAAGTTAATAATGCAAGCTGCATCTTTATTAATGAGCACTATTTGATTTTTCTCTTCTAATTCTTTTGTCCCCAGAATCAGGAAGGGTAGTATCTGCATCTGTGTTTTAGCATTCTCCTATTTCTTTTGTCCCAAAAATTTCCCCCTTTTTCTGATGAGAATAGCAATTATTGTGAATCTGACTCACTTTGCCAAATCTCAACTATTTTGGAGAAATAGGAACTCTTTAAATTGAGGATCACAGAAATTCTCAATTGTATTGCAACCACATTAATTATGAAATATGACTTATTTCTTTTGTCCTCCTATAATATAATTTACACCTGAGAGAAATTTTTCATTGCAAGTAAGGCCAACAGCATAACCATGAATACAGAGAAACCCCAGAGTCCTGCTCTTGAACCAACAATTTCATGAGCTGTTCCTTCTTTAGTATTCAGTCTTTGGGGAGAAGTAGAACTCAACTCAAATTTATTTAGAAAACTATCTTCTTGGGGCCAGCGCTGTGGTGTAGCAGGTAAAGCCGCCTCTTGCAGTGCTGGTATCTCATATGAGCGCTGGTTCAAGTCCCAGCTACTCCACTTCCGATCTGCTCTCTGCTAGGGCCTGGGAAAGCAGTAGAAGCTGGCCCAAATCCTTCGGCCCTTGCACTCATGTGGGAGACCCAGAGGAAGCTCATTGCTCTTGGCTTTGGATCAGTGCAGCTCCAGACACTGTGACCAATTGGGGAGTAAACCAGTAGATGGAAGATCTCTCTCTCTCTCTCTCTCTTTCTGCCTCTTCTTCTCTCTGTGTGTAACTCTGACTTTCAAATAAATAAAATAAATCCTTTAAAAAAAAAAAGAAAGAAAACTATCTTCTTGGCCCCCCAGTCCTGAGCCTGCCTGCCTTACCACTCTCCCACCCGGATCTGTACAGGGGACTGATGGGCAGGGGCACCCCACAGAAAAGTTCTAGTTGTTCCTGCAGCCCCACTTCCCAGCAGAGCAAATTTGTGTCCCACGACTGTGTATTAATCAGCCGGTTTGTTGCTCCTGGTTGATCTGTCACAGAGCCAGCAACCTGCTGAAGCCTCCAGACTGAGCCCTGGAGGGTGGAGCAGCACCCACACTGGAAATGAGATGGAGGCTATGAGCTTGAGATGCTCATTATCTGTCTTAAGACCTCTGTTAACTTTTCGGTTTCATTTAGTATGCTGTGGTTATCATTGTCATTTTTGGTTTTGATGCCTTGTTAAATGTCCAAATGAATTAATAAAGCTGTAGCGTCACCCTCTCCAGTGATGCTTAGTATGTGTATCTGATAAAATGTAAGACACTAGATTCATTATTTGTTTCTGCTTACCAAGCCATCCTATCACACAGTGGCTTGAATAACAGCAGTTTTATTTGCTGATGAGTTTGTGGGTCAGCAATTTGGGTTGCAGGGTTCTCTAGCCCCACATTCTCTTTGTAGTGAAAACATCCAAAGCCCTAACTTCCTGCTGTGTTTTAAGTGTGTTCTTAAGCAAACTCTGAAGGGTGATGTCGCTGTGTTGCAGACCTCCTTACTGTGCAAAGCCGCCATCCATGCAGGAATCATTGCGGATGAACTGGGCGGCCAGATCAGCGTGCTTCAGCGCAAAGGGATCAGTCGATATGAGGGAATCCTGGCCAATGGTGTGCTCTCAAGGGGGTAAGTACTTTGCTGTTGCTTCCCAGTGGAAAGTAACTCTGATGGTATAACTAACCAGGGCATCATTTTGAAAAGCCAGCAGGGATGTGGTATCAAGCGTTTGTCAACTGGGAAAAATACATGTGAGTGCTTAGAGCAGCCTTTACGGTCTCTGTGCAGAAGAAATGGCAAAAAGGAGGCTCCCTGGTGGGGCGGGTGTTTTGGTGTGCAGTGAGTTAAGCCACTACTTGGGATACCCATTTTCCCTATCAGAGTACAGGTTCAGAGTGCTCGGCACTCCCTACCCAACATCCTGCTAATGCATCTTGGGAGGCAGCAGGTGGCTCAAGTGGGTGCGCCCCTTGTGTATTCTACACAGTAATTTGAACTATTTGCCAGATTTTTGTTTTGATAAGAGTGGACAGAAAGTCCAAAATTATGTCAAGGTCCTTTTTCCTCCCCACTCTGTGGATCTGCACTGACTTTTTGCTCTGAGCAAAGAGTAAACTGTGTTTAGTACAGCTCCTTCCACTCCTCTGGATTCCCAAATCTTCAGGGAGCAGTTGTTTTTATCTGTGTTGTTTTACTGTGGGGAAGCCACGGCACATGCGGTCATTGAACTTATGTTCCCACACATGTTCAGGAAAAAACACAGAGGGAAGCATTGCAGCTGAGGAAAAGGGGTCCCTAAAGGAAATATCCTGGGGTCTTCTGGGATTCAGCCCGGGTCAGGTCACTTCCTTGATGTGAAGAGCCCAGAATGGAATCAGGAAGAGGGACTGACCTCACACAGAGGATGATGGCTCTGACCGTCAGAAGGGGTGGCATTTCCTCCTGTTGATACCGGGTTATTCTTGAGTGCTTCAGTCCACCCGGGAAGGATTCTAATTCCTGTAAGCTGGTTGAATTCATTCACCCCAGTATGCGAGTGCCTCAGAACCCTAATGTCCCCAGAGAATTTTCATTTGTAAAAGAGGAGGCTTACTTACCCATGGAATTCAACAGGTGGTTGTGTTTAGTTTAATAGAATGAAATGGGAAAACATGTTCCAGCTGATAAAGGAGGAAGGCCAGGCAGGCAGCTGTTGGTCAAACCTTCCCTGGTGTCTTTACCTTGGGTTAACTCCACAGTTATCCTACTTTTGTACTTATTCTCATTGGTCAACAACAACAACAAAGGGCTGAATTTTTTTTAAAGATTTATTTATTTTACTTGAAAGAGTTCCAGAGAAAGAGGGAGAGACTGAGAGAAAGAGAGATCTTCCATCCGCTGGTTCACTCCCTAAATGGCTGCAACAGCCAGAGCTGGGCCAGACCAAAACTAGAAGCCAGGAGCTTCTTCCAGGTCTCACATGTGGATGCATGTGAGCCATCTTGTTACTTTCCCAGGCACATTAGTAGGGAGCTGGATTGGAATCAAACCTGTGCTCATGTGGAATGCCAGCATTGCAGGTGGCAGCTTTATAGTGCCGGTCCCCAGGGATGAAATTTTTTATGTTTCATTTTGGTCGCAGCAAGTATAAGCGCTCAAAGTTGCAGCATTTTTAATTGGGCCACATTGCAAGTGTAATAGTTTGGGCAGAAACATTAGAGAAAATGTAAAAATCAGACAAATCGAAGCCCTAAATAACTCTTAATAAAAATTTATTTACAATAATATATATTTTTCTTTAAGTGTCAGGAGACCTGGGTCCTCGCCCCAACTTTGTCACTGTGAATGTTGTTGAATCCCTTGGCCCTTGCAGATCTGAATTTTCTCATGTTGGAGTGATTGGTGCCTGCATGACAGGCTGCACAAGAATTATAATGGAGCCTTTATGTGAAAGAGCAGGGCTTATGGAGTCTCTGCCTAAGAGTAGATAATGAATGTAGAAAAGTCCATTGCAGAGAATTTTACTACCTTTTTGATAGGCAAGTGTTTCTACTCTTGAACAGTGTTTTTGTGTTCTCAGTGGGCTTCACATTTTCGTATTCTCTCAGTTATTGCACATACACCTCAGAATTAAGCGTTTAAAATAAAAAGCAATTGAACACAACAGTGACATCCTCCTTGTATTTGTCTCTGGTCTAAGTACTATGCACAAAAGAGTAATCTGGAGAATTGCAAGTTTTCCATTCATTCTATGTATTTTTTACACTACTGGTTTGGTGAAGGATTTTCACCAAGTAGGTATCCTCTTGGGCCTTAGGGATCTCTTTTCCCCTGAAGAGACAACTACAGAACGAGGTTGGTTTGGTGAGAGTGATACAAGCTGTAGAACATCAAGGGCAAGGAGGCCAGAGGGTCCCTGCCGCATGGACAGGAGAACCGTCTCACAGCAGTGAGGGCCCAGTTCAGGCCAGGCCATGGAGAAGCTGTGAGTCCTCTCCAGCTGTGCCTTGTCATCCAGGAATAGGAGCTGCTCACGACTTGGTGCTGGTTGCTGCAGTAGGTAGGAGTGTGACACTGTAGTGAAAGCAAGGGCTCCGACCGTCTCTAGAGCAATGCTGCTGGGCAAGACCACTGTGGGAAAAAGTAGAGAAGGCAACTGGAAGTGAGACTCTCTTGCTTCTAAGTGACCAGGCTTCCCCATTTCTCTTTTTGGTCCTTGTGCATTCACAGTGAATGGGACAGGTCAAGTGACAACTGAACTAAGGAAGACTTGAGGAAAGTAATCCTTTTGGCCTGTATTACCATGCATCAATTAATTAGGGTTTACAGTTGCTCTTGAGACTATATATGCATATGCTTTCTCCAGAAATGTGGCATGGTGGAAACCACAGTGGATATGGTTTCAAAAGGATTCAAAGGGGGCCGGCACTGTGGCATAGTAGGTTAATCCTCCACCTGCAGCACCCACATTCCATATGGGCACCAGTTCGAGTCCCGGCTGTTCCACTTCAGATCCCTGCTGACAGCCTGGGAAAGCAGTGGAAAATGGCCCATGTGTTTGGGCCCCTCCACCCGCATGGGGGACTTAGAAGAAGCTCCAGGCTCCTGACTTCAGATCAGCACAGCTCCAGCAGTTGCAGCCATTTGGGGAGTGAACCAAAGGATGGAAGACCTCTCCCTCTGACTCACCCTCTCTGTAACTCTGCCTCTCAAATAAATTAATAATTTTTTTTTTAAAAAAGAGGATTCAAAGATCTCAGAGCTCTGGTCACTTGTCACCTGCATGAATTTGGAAACATTGCTTACCTTCCAAAGGCCTGAGTATCCTGATCTATCAAATCCTGATGAAGCAGATAATCTCCTTGCAGACATCTGGCAGAGTGTCACAAGGCCCACAAGGGGTAGCACCCAAGGGAAGGTCCTGAGAACATTTTGAGAGCACAGTATCCATCATTAAGACCTCCTGAAGGGTAGATGCGGTGGCACAGTATGCCTGCATCCCACATCAGAGTGCCTGAGTTCAAGTCTTGGCTCTGTTCCCAATTCTAGCTTCCTGCTATTGTGCACCCTGGGAGGCAGCAGGTGATGGATCTTGTACTTGAGTCCCTGCTGCCCTTGTGGTGGGAGACCTGTATTGATTTCTTGGCTTTGGCCTGACCTTGTCCTGGCTGTTTGAGGTCATTTTGGGTGTGAACTAGCATTTGAGGAATGAACCAGTTGATGGGTGCTATCTCTTTCCCTCCCTCCCTCTCTGAAATACATAAAATAAAGATTTAATTAAGAAGACCTAGTTAAGCAACTCACTGCTCATGTTTGTCTTCATTGTTTCAGCGGTTCCCTGTCAGACAAGCGAATTCTGTTTACCTCTAATGGTAAGGATCATGCTTTCCTTACGAATTTGGGATTAAAATTCTTCAGTGGTAGTTCATTCCTCCATACTCCTCACAAAATGTAGTTAAAACAGTTTCCTTTTTTTCCCTCAGGTCGTATGGCACCAAATTTTCTGTAACTTAAAAATACACAAAATAATGAACCTGGATCTCTCTTAAACTTATGCCAAAAGAATGAAAAATGAAATGACATGTATTTTAAGATAAATTCCTTTACGTTAGATTTTTAAGAGGAAAAAAACTCTTTTATGCATTTGATTTTACTGATGTTTATTTTGATTAAAATTTTTGTACATGAGTATATAATAAAGGCTTTTTAGCTCTTCTATCATGGAATGTATTCTATGGAAATATTCTTCCTTAACATAAAGTAAAACATTTCAAGGAAAATCACTAGATTAAGTCTTCTGTGCCCAAGAAGAAGTGGGGCCTTTAATGGCTACCTCCACATTACCTGGACAGTTAAGGTCCGAGGGATGAACATTAGGTACAATTTGCTAATTTATACCTCCCTCTTAAGAGGTAAAAGCTCTCTTTAATTTAAAGTGGAGTTCTCCTCTGATTCTAAAACCTTAAAATGAAAAGAACTTCAGCATTTTAAACCTTCTAGACACATTATGCTTTGTTGAAATCAGGGTGACTTTAGAGGGTCAGAAAAGAAAATCTATGGTGATCACAGAGAGGTGTCACTCATAGGGGTATGATTTCAGTGAGGTCCACTCAAAAGCAAAGCAGTAACACCTGCAAGCCACTGTGCTACAAACAAGTCAAAAGCAATTGTGAGTTACTTAAAAACTGGTATTTAAATATTTGATTCAATATCAGAATGTAAGTAAATCGATTGGGTATTTAGGATGGGGTAAATTTTATCTCTTGCTTTCACTTTCTGCCTATTGGTAAAGTGTTTTACTGCTCTTTTTTCCCAGCTTGCAGCAGATCCTTGAGTTTGGAACCTGACAGGCAAATCAGAGCTTCTTCCTCTTGGCAGTGGGCCAATGAGGTTGGAGAACAAGTTCACTGGTCTCCTGGCCAAGCCCGACTCCAGGACCAAGGCCCGTCATGGGCTTCAGGAGATAGCAACAGCAACCACAGACAACGAGAGTGGCTAGAGATAGACTTGGGGGAGAAAAAGAAAATAACAGGTACTTAAACAAATGTGGGGGCAGCGTCACGAATGCATAATGACTTGCAGTTGAAATTATACTTTTGATCAATATGAGTGTCTGTCTCTCTTTCTACCTCCAAGTACTTCATGTCTTTTTGAAAGCATAACAAATCACTGCCCACACGTACAACTCTGTATGCACTTGTAAATATGGATGTATGAATTAGAAGGTTGATATCACAATGGTGAAATTTCTTTTTTTGGTGTTCTTGTTTGTGAGAAAAACCTCATCTATGAACAGGTTTCTTCTTATTTTTTTTTAAGAATTATTTTATTTATTTGAAAGACAGAGTTACAGGTAGAGGTAGAGCCAGAGAGAGAAAGGTCTTCCATTCCGCTGGTTCACTCCCCAAATGACTGCAACGGCCAGAGCTTAGCTGATCCAAAGCCAGGAGCCAGGAGCTTCTTCCAGGTCTCCCACATGAGTGCAGGGGCCCAAGAACTTGGGCCACCTTCTTCTGCTTTCTCAGGCCATAGCAAAGAGCTGGATCAGAAGAGGAGCAGCCAGGACTTGAACTGGCGCCCATATGGGATGTCAGCGATGCAGACTGGGGCTTTAACCCACTGCACCACAGTGCAGGCCCCTTTGTGTGTGTGTGTGTGTGTGAGAACAGGTTTCTTTTTGTTTGCTTGTTTCTTTTTTTTGTTTTTTGTTTTTTATTTTTTATTTTTTAAATTTTTGACAGGCAGAGTGGATAGTGAGAGAGAGAGACAGAGAGAAAGGCCTTCCTTTACCATTGGTTCATCCTCCAATAGCCACTGCGGCCGGCGCGCCGCAGCCGGCGCACCACGCTGATCTGAAGGCAGGAGCCAGGTGCTTCTCCTGGTCTCCCATGCGGGTGCAGGGCCTAAGGACCTGGGCCATCCTCCACTGCATTCCCGGGCCACAGCAGAGAGCTGGACTGGAAGAGGGGCAACTGGGACAGAATCCAGTGCCCCAACTGGGACTAGAACCCGGTGTGCCGGTGCTGCAAGGCGGAGGATTAGCCTAGTGAGCCACAGCGCCGTCATGAACAGGTTTCTAAATGCAGCTGGTAAAGATTGGCCTGCAAAGAAATTTGAGATTTCAAAAGAGGAGGGAAAAAGAAACCTGAAGTTAGAATACATGTTATATATAGCATACTTTTTAAAACTAGCCTATAATGTTTTCTTAAAAGGAATCAGGACCACAGGATCTACACAGTCAAATTTCAACTTTTACGTGAAGAGTTTTGTGATAAACTTCAAAAACAACAACTCGAAGTGGAGGACCTATAAAGGAATTGTGAATAATGAAGAAAAGGTAGGAAGGAGGAAAGAGCCAGAGCAGGAGAACATCATTGGGCTTACATTAAATATCTCACTAATGAAAGACAATGCTGGTGCCTCCCTGAGCGTGTAGGAATAACAGCTATGTCAAGAATCTTAAGAGATCTTTGTGATTGAATTCTTTTCTGCCTGAGGAATGAGATACTTGGGATTTGCCAAGGAAGTAGAAGTTGGTAATTTGAAATGGTTGCTTCAGTCCAAGTGCAGTGGATGCTTGGGTTGGAAACTGGTTCTGGGCATGCTATTAGTGGCTGTTAGAATTAAGAAGGGGATGACAAAAGTGGGAGCTGAAGACTTGTACTTCTAAGGTTGCATCAGTAGCACTCTATCACTGTAAGACCAAGTAATACAGCAGGTCAAGACCTATCACTGTAAGACCAAGTAATAAAACAGGGCAGTTTTAGCTTCTTCACCTAAAATGAAATTTAAAGCAGAAAACAGGCAGCACCAACTCAGTTAAATAACTTGGCCTTTATTTGCAAAGTTGTATCTTCAATATCAATAGGCTCTTTTTAAAAGGTGTGACAGAATCCTTGCTTTGGTTTCATAGAACCAGTGTGAAGGGACAGGGAAATCCCCCACAATTTAACTAGCAAGATCTTCAGATAAAAGTAATTTCTTTCTACAGGTGTTTCAGGGCAATTCTAACTTTCGGGACCCTGTGAGGAACAATTTCATCCCTCCCATTGTGGCCAGATACGTGCGGGTTGTCCCTCAAACATGGCACAAGAGGATAGCCTTGAAAGTGGAGCTCATTGGTTGCCAGATTACACAAGGTAGGGCTTAGGGCGGGTCAGGGAGCTACTCACTCCTGGCCATCTCCTTCCCCATATCCTTACTACTAATGTGGTTTTTCCAACATCTCTTCTCTCTTGGGTAATGACTCATTGGCGTGGCCCAGAACAAGCCCAAACACTGGTGTTTGAACTGAGAGATAAGATGAGACAATCCAAAAGCCCACCTCCTCCAAAGAATCACCCACGGGCAGAGCAGCTAACTGTTTTGTAGTTTTATTAGGAGCATAACTGGTACCCCACACAATATAACAGTAACTTCAACAAAACTTATTTTCCTATGTCATATAAATACTGGAAGAAACAGTCCAGAGATATTTCCAACATGTGTGAAATAATGCATGTCTACAACTATTCATTGAAATATTGCAATTTAAAAAGACTGGAAATGAATGTACATGCCTTTCAAACACTAGGTAAATATCTTCAGGAAAAAATAAAAGAATAATACATCCATCCAATGGAATATAATGCAGCCAGGGAAAAATGAGTGTGTTGGTAATACAAAAAATGCTCTGAGATTTTTTTAAAGATTTATTTATTTACTTGAGAGGGATAGTTACAGACAGAGAGAGGGAGAGACAGATAGAGAGGTCTCCCATCCACTGGCTTACTCCCCAGATGGCCACAGCTTCTTGTGGGTCTCCCATGCTGTTGCAGGGGCTCAAGAATTTGGGCCATCTTCCAGTGCTTACCCAGGCTATCAGCAGGGAGCTAGATCAGAAGTGGAGCAGCCAGGACTCAAACCAGTGCCCCTATGGGATGCCGGAGACACAGGCAGATACTTAACCCACTATGCCACAGTGCCGGCCCAAGAGATATTTTCACAGCTTAAAAAAATAAGCAAGATTTGAACAGTTTGTGTAACAGCCTTCCATTTGTGTAAAAAGAGGGACTGGAGAGTGAATATTCCTGCCGATATCTCTAAAAGAATGTCAGGAAGCATAACATGGCTTCCCATGGAGCAGGACCAGAAGTAGGAGGGAGATCTTCCATTCCGTACCTTCTAATACTTTCTGCATTTTGAAAATGGACGTTTATAATCTACTCAAGTATATACATTGAAAGTATATTAATTTTCCAGAACATAAAATGATTTACATATTAATTTTATAAACTTTAAAAGTATAAGAAAAATATAAAGAAAATTAAAATCATGATCAACTAGCATCATGAATAATCGCCATATCTCCCTGTATCCAGTCTCACTGTATTTCTAACTTTAAGACAAAAATGGTAGCTGTAACATACAGGAGAGTATTTCTAAAAGTTCACAGAAAATGCATATATGAAAAACCTATGCATGAATTTGAAACTTTTTTGTACCAAAATATTTTTTTTTGACAGGCAGAGTGGATAGTGAGAGAGAGAGACAGAGACAGAGACAGAGACAGAGACAGAGAGAAAGGTCTTCCTTTTACCATTGGTTCACCCTCCAGTGGCCGCCATGGCCAGCGCGCTGTGGCTGGCACACCGCACTGATCCAAAGCCAGGAGCCAGGTGCTTCTCCTGGTCTCCCATGTGGGTGCAGGGCCCAAGCTGTCGCTCCCCGTCTTCATGGGGGAACGACACTAAACCCTGCCTAGGCTTCATATCCGAGTCACGGCACCATTATGTCGCTCCCCCTCTTCGTGGAGGAACGACACAGGACCCTGCGCTGTTCTTTCGTCTGCTCGGCCCTCCCCGGGTTTGCTGCTGGTTCTTCCCGGGTTGGCTACTATCCCTTCCACCTCCGTGGAAGGGCAGTTCCCCCTGGCCGCATTCCCCACTTCCGCAGGGGAGCGGCACACCGCCGGCCGGTTCTCTCGGGGGCTGCACAGGTGTTCCTTCAGCTACATGTTCCCCTTAGATGTTCCTGGTGCATGCCGTCTCTCTCCTCCTTTATAGTCCTCCTCCGCCAATCCCAACTCGGCTGCCCACACGCCGAGTACGCTGCTCTCCAATCAGGAGCAAGTCCTACAGTTTATTGGTTGAACTGGAGGCAGCTGTGCGGAAGCTGTTTACTTCTCTCCCAGCGCCATATTGTGGGAGAGCAGATGCATAGAATAAGTCCTAATTCGAGTAACTTAGTCTAGTCCGGATTGCTCCCCACACCAAGCACTTGGACCATCCTCCACTGTACTCCCTGGCCACAGCAGAGAGCTGGACTAGAAGAGGAGCAACCGGGACAGATTCCAGCACCCCAACTGGGACTAGAACCCAGTATGCTGGCACCACAGGCAGAGGATTAGCCTATTGAGCTGCGGCGCCAGCCAATATTTTTAAATTCCATGTTTATTTTTTAATCCCATATTTCCATGAACTTTTGAAGCAACTTTATATTGTTTTGTGGATATATTTTTCATTTTACAATGTATTCAGTATATTTTCAATGCTATTGAATATTTGAAAAGCACAATACCTTTATAGTTTTTTTAATAAGAATATCCCATTATTTAGTTAAGCATTCCTCTTATTGTTGGACGTTTAAGTTAGATTTTCCTCAATTTTTTTTTTTTTGACAGGCAGAGTTAGACAGTGAGAGAGAGAGATAGAGAAAAAGGTCTTCCTTCCGTTGGTTCACCCCTAAAATGGCCACTACGGCTGGCGCGCTGTGGCTGGCACACTGTGCCAATCCCAAGCCAGGAGCCAGGTGCTCCCTCCTAGTCTCCTAGCAGGTGCAGGGCCCAAGCACTTGGGCCATCCTCCACTGCACTCCCGGGCCACAGCAGAGAGCTGGACTGGAAGAGCAGCAACCGGGACAGACTCCAGCACCCCAACTGGGACTAGAACCCGGGGTGTTGGCGCCGCAGGCAGAGGACTAGCCAAGTGAGCCGCAGTGCCAGCCTCAAATTTTCACTCATAACCAGCACCTGCTGTTTACATAAATTTTGTTCCCATTTGTGTACCTTTTCCTCCTCTTCACAGGCTCTCCACTTCTGAACATCCCTTTATTTTTTTCCCAGGGATCACAAAAAAGAGGGTGAGGAGCAAACTTTTCTCCTTTAGTTTGCGTAGTTTCTGCAAATTTGGGGCCTCTTGCAGTGTTAAAGTGACCTCCTTTGTTAAAGCAAAAAGAGTTATAGGGAAACAATATGTAGTGTTTCTTGTCACACAGTGAAAATGCTCTTTGAGGTCATCAGACTTCGTTTCCTCCCAGGCCACAGCTGCAAAGTCCCACTAATGAGAATCCCAGGCATCTCCAAGCCTCTGTTATGGTGCAGGTCCAAACTCGTCCACCATCTGGGAAAATTAACTGTACCAAAGCAGCTCTACTCTAAACTTCACTAATTTACCTAAGTTGCTCCTGGCTGGGTGGACCTGATTTAAACCATCCCCCTGGATTCCGATTTTTAAAGTCTGATATGGGCCCAGCAACAAGCACAGAGTACATAGAAATCCCTGAGGGAGTCTGGAGACTATCTTCCAGTAGTTTTTTGGAAAATTTATTTTCCCCAATTTAGCCCAAAGTTTAAATCCTCTCACTTTCCAATATCAGCAAATGCCTGGGCTGTATTCATTTTCCACATATATCAAACAGTTGGAGGCTCTTGAAGACAATGTTCAGTTTTTAGATTATGAAGCCTGGTGACCGTCATCTCCATGGTAACATGGTGGCTTCCCCCTCCTCTAGGTGGGAACGTCACCACTGTCGCTGTTCCATTGGTGCTCCTTGTGGTCCTGCTGCTTGTAGGACTGGGGATCTTTGCAGCCTTCAGAAATATAAGGTGACGTATTTATTCATTTATTCTCTGGTTATGTAAACACAGACCCAAAAAGTTAACTCTTCAGATACTTATGCATAGAACAGCAGCATGATGCCTTTCAAGTAGACTACTAGCTTATATTTTAAAAGCAAGCTGGGTAGAAGTAGAAATGATCAAATATTACTTTATAAGCATCTTGTCCTTTACAAACTTTTTGATAAAGCATTGTCACAGAAGTATCCAGAAACCAGTTGGCTTCTACATATTCAGTAGGGACTTCTTCTCTTGATAGGAGGAAGAAGAAGGGAAATCCATATGGATCAACTGATACTCAGAAACCAGGTTGGTTGAAACTCCATCTCCAGTTTTACCCCATCTTAGAAGAACAGACAGGATCTGCCCATTGAAAGCATGTGGAGGCCAGTGACACACCTACATGCTTAAAGAAAACATAAGCCTTTACACTAGCAATTCTGCAAAGAAGGACTTACTGTATCCTGTCTCCTTATTTTCATGACCACCCTACTTTTGTTCAGCAATGTCTCCATTATTTATTGCAGTTTAGGCCACCACACTGTCAGCAAGAATGAGTCCCAACAGCTCCATCAGGGAACTGCATGTAGTCTAATGCTCTCAGGCCTCCCCTTTAATTTCCACTCTGGAAAAGTGAAGAGAGGCAGGGCTCATGTGCAGATTTCAGAGAATCCACAGGACACAAGTTGCCCACAAAATGAGCTATCAGTGCTCTAGCCACAGGGCAGTAAGGTGGGACCCCTGGGAAAACTCAGGAATACTTGAAACTCTGCCTGCGCAGTATCTGAGCACCACAGATGTTGTCTCCTTCGGGTCATGAATGTTGTATCAAAGCAAATTATAGGAAACCATGCCCAGATGGCCTCACAAACGGGTAATCCGAGACCTAGCAGATGCACAAGTACATTTTGGGGGCACAGTGGAAAGCACGGTTGGGGTAGGGCTTGCTGTTGTAGTTAGTGGCCTCAGGTTGCTGTCCTCAGCACTCACCTCAGAGTTATCGCTGTCCACTCATCACCATCAGCCCTCAAGAGACAGCCTGACCTGCGACTCACCAAGGGACACGGCATGGACTGTGTGCATTACCCTCCTGATGTTTCATGTTATCTTTATCCAGGCTGTTGGAAGCAGATTAAGTACCCCTTTGCCAGGCACCAGTCAACCGAGTTTACCATCAGCTATGACAATGAGAAGGAGTTGACACAAAAGTTAGATCTCATCACCAGTGATATGGCAGGTAAGGGTCGCACTTCCGAAATGTCAGAGATGTCTTAAGATTTTTCTGCACTCTGCGAAGAAGAGTTGTGAAATGACACTCAACTGTTTCTCAAAAGCCCCATTCAGCAGTCTGTTACACCTGCAGGGGACATAATGAAATCCAGGTGATGATGCTTAAGTACAAATAGTATCTGAAAGCCCTGAAGCTATTGTTAGCAAGGTCTTGATTAAGGCACTGTGGGAAAGAGACTAGAAAGATGAATTAAAAATAGCTCCTCCCCTTGAGGAAGGAAGGAGGAGATGAGGGAAGTCCTCCCGTGTTTGAATGGCCTTGGTGTCCCTAACAGGCCACCATTGAGGAGTGAGCTTCCCAAAGTAGCTGTGGGGTACAATTTGTCTTTTTGCTTCTTAACTTCCAAACCTTCATGGATAAGTAACTTTGTAAAATACAATACATTATTAGTAAAGGTAAAATTTGTAAAGGTAAAAATTTGTAAAGTAAAGGTAAAACTTTGTAAAATACAATACATTATTAGTAAAGGTAAAATTTTTTAAAAGACATATAAAACAGTTCTCAGATGTGTGGGTATCCACAGCCCTCACTTTGCATAGCCCTACTCTGGCTTCTCAGGTCTCACCACAGACTCTGAGCACTTGCAGTACAGATATCTAACATTGGGGCCATGTTAGAAATGCAAGCTGTGGTTCCCACCATACCCCAGGCCTACAGAACTAGGATGGGAACTACAGAACTAGAGGATGCATGTACACATCGGGATCTGGGAGGCACTTGAGCCACTTCATGGACAAGGAGAGCATCTGCCCAGCCAAAATCCATCTTCTTGTCCCACAGAAGTGAAGGGAGAACCTCTTTTCTGCTCTCTTCCCTGATTTCACTTTTAGCTCCCACTACAGCCTCTCCGTCTTCCTCTCTGACTGGTCTTTCTTAAACCCCTTAAATGTGCAAGGCCCAAGTGCTCATCCTGTCCCAGCTTGCCTGTAGTCTCTACCCTAATCATTGTCACCAGTTTCTGGAGCTTCCAGAAGTCCTTGCATGTTTCTCCACACTGCTTCTCACACCCCAGCTTTCCTCCCAGTCCCCAGTCTGTAATCCTCAGGAGCCTTCTGGGCACCCCACCTAGAGTGTCACCAGTTCTCTGTACACCCAGACTCTAAGTGATTTTCCAGTCCAGCAGTCAAAACCTCTGGGAAGGGTCCTTGGCTCCCCTCCTTCTTCACACCCTGCAGGTCGTTGATGGCACATCCCCGACTCTTGTCTCCAAAATGTGGCCTCCTCCTCTACCTGTCATCTCTCTTTGCCTTTTACTTCTTGCTTTTTGGTCTCTCCTTCTTCCGTGTACCACCAGAGTTCCCACCCACTGTGTCTGTCCCTAGGTCTCTCCAGAAGTAAACCTCCTGGCAAGGCACTCTGCTTCCCGTGACCTGAATGAGGGTTAGTTAACAGCACACACTTGGGGTGTGTAGTGGGTTCCTGGCTCCATGGGCTGCTAACTGTGTGAACAGGGAAGAGTTACATAACCTCCCTCTGCCCTGGTTTGTAAAGGGGTAATGAACCCTAGCTCATAAGACTTTCTTTGAAAAGTAACTTGGAAATACAAGGGCACTTCAAAAAGTTTACAGAAAATGGAATCAAAAGATAAATTATTTTGGTGCAAAAATTTTGAAACCCATGCATGTGAGAAGTGTTCAGAAGGTCCACAGGAAATGCAGATTATAAAAAAAACCTGTGCGTGGATTTTTAAAAAAAATGTGTACCCAAATAAACTTACATTTTAATTCCATTTTCCACGAACTTTCTGAAGACCTTTCTCATGTCTTACTGTCTTCGTGTCTGGCACAAAGCAAGGGCTGGAAAAATGTGATCTCTTTCATTATCCTCGCCATGGTCGCTGGGTCCTGACATATTTTGGTCTTTATATTTCATTAAGCAAACTATTCCGCGTCCCTCGTGCCCTTGGCCACATCAAGCTCTATTTTCATGGTTGCTCTTGCTTCCTTTTCCTCGGTGTTACCTCCACCTCCAAAATCTGGCATGTTGAGTGCAACTATAAAAGCCACTTAAGTATTTTTCCCCTACTCCAGGGCTAAGTGTGAGAGCTCCTTTTCCGTTGTGGCGGCCGTGACTGGCGCCTAGGGCACTCCAGGCCCTCGATGCAGAGTTTTTGGTTCGGCTCTCCCTGAAGCAGAGCGCCCCCTCTGCAAACAGCCGACTTGGTGCACTGAGTAGCCCCGCGGTGCACAACTGATGCGCCTTCTCCTCCTGTGGTTTCAGATTACCAGCAGCCTCTCATGATTGGCACCGGGACAGTCACAAGGAAGGGCTCCACCTTCCGGCCCATGGACCCGGAAGCCCACGAGTTAGGGGCGAGCTCCGAGCCTGGCGGCCACTACGACTGTCCTCACCGCACGGGCCGCCACGAGTACGCGCTGCCCTTGACGCACCGGGAGCCTGAGTACGCCACGCCCATCGTGGAGCGGCACCTGCTTCGGACCCACACCTTCTCCGCGCAGGACGGCTACCATGTCCCCGGCCCCAGGCCGGCTCACAAACACTCCCTCTCCGCCGGCGGCTTCTCCCCTGCGGCGGGAGCCGGCGCCGAGAGCCCCGCGCCGGCGGACCGGGGCTACGACAAGCCCAAAGCCAACAGCGTCTTCGCCCCCCAGAGCGGAGACCCAGCTCCTCAGGAGCCGCGGCTGAGTCCGGGGGCGAATGACGGTTACTCGGCTCCCAGAGACTGCCTCCAGCCCCTCCAGCACACTGCCTCGCCGGCCCTTTAGCGAACACAATGTGAAAGCCACCTGGTGTGGTCCCCGGTGGCGGTGTGTGTGAGCCCCTGGAAGAAGGGCGGCTGCTGTGCATCCCTGTGTGCGCGCGTTCGAGTCCACGGGATCCCGCGGAGAGGTGCTCTCCAACTGTTTACAAAATTGTGCAGCTGATACTGTTCTGACCCTTAGGGCGAGAATCTGTTGGTTTTTGTTGGGCTAGAAAATAACGAAAATTTCCAGATGGCATTGTCATTTCTCTAACTGTGATACTGAGCTTCTTTGGTGTAAGATGTGCAATCGATACAGAGTTGTATTGAACAAGAAGTGAAAGTAACCGAAGATTGCCTTACCGGAGTTCAGGCCTGCCCAGAGGTTAAGTGGGAAAATGCAGCCGCTGCTGTGTGCCGCGGTATCCACCAGGACGTCCATTTTCCCCCAGCACGTTTTGGTATCCCATACCGAGCTAGCAGCAGGCCTGTCTCCGCTTAATCCTGTTGTTACTGTGGCTCATTTCCTTTCCTTTGATAGCCAGAACTGAAAACATTTTTAACATTCTTCCCCTGGAAGAAATGAAATTACTTGAAGCATGAAAAGCACACCGGGGTGGTGGTTTTGTTTGGCAGTTATAATTGTAGATTAAGACAAACACACCACCTCTGCGGCGGCGGCCAGTGTCTTTAGACACTTCCTGGATGAGGATGCGAAGTGGCAGACTGAGAGGCCCATCTTCCCAGGCTGGTGGAGACCCCCGCTGCTCGCGGGCTGGGGGAATGGGGTCTCTGAGGAATGTGCTTGCTTCACTTTTTCCTTCCTCCTCCTCTCAGGCCCAGCAAACACTGCAACTTTCAAATGCAAAACTGTTCTCTCAACAAGCTGAAATGGATGGAGGTAGCGCTGCAGTTAGAGTCTGTTTTGCTGTGTCAGATGCTTTTGTGTCTCAGATGATAAAAACATGGCTGAGGTCAGAGGCTCACGCTTCTCATGACTTCCTTCCAAAACAGAGCATGTTGGTGACTTCCAAGGTCCCCTAGAAAAGAAAATGCTTATTTGAAATGGGTTCTCGCAGAAGTGACCAAGGCCAAGTCTTAAATGGCGCTTTTCTGCTGAGATGATTGGGAACTGAACTGATTTTGTTAAGAAATTTCCCCTCAAGTATGCGTCTGTAATTCCAGATTAGCCCAGGCCTCAGCTGTACCTCACACACATGCTTTCAATCTGAGTTTGCTTTGTGAATGAACTGTGGGGGGTGGGGGCTAACCTCTTTTGCCAAAGAGGAAATTATGTGTTTGTTTTCTAGAAAATATCAACCAAAAAATCATTTTCATAACGAAAAAAATCTTTAACACTATTGGTATGGTTGTGCCTTTCTGTGAAATGTGTCCATAGTGTACTGCTCACTAAGGGAGGTGCTGGAAGGCAGACTTTGCTGGTTATTGTGGGGGAGAAACCGTTTACTTTGTGCAGTTTACATGATTTTATGTGCATACTAATTGTAATAAACAAGCCAAATCAAAGCGCCCCTGACTCGTGCCCTGCTTGCTGTGCTGTTGAAGGCACTTGAGGTGCAGGCCTTAATAAAAGCGCGGGTGATACTGAGGCCAGACAGGAAGACTCTCCAGTACCCAGGTCCTTGCCTTCACCAAGAATTCAGGAGCCAGTCAGAAGATGAGGAGTGTCTGATAAAGTGAGATACACATTCCACAGCCAGAGTGGGGCCTACTCCAGGGGGAGTGGCCCTGTTTAACATATGAAAAGGGGTTACATCCTAATAAAGGGGAGGGAGGTTTACACTTTTCCTGAGCAGTATTTGGAGATTTCCCAGAATCCAGCTACTGCCCCTCTTGGCTCCTTACATGATCTGATGTTTTCTGCTGTGGCAGCTGACAGAAGTGTCATTTAGCATGTTAATGACTTACAATGAGCCTTCAGCAAGGTGTAAGTCACTTCAGGTCAGCCTTGGACCACTTAACTGCTTTAAGCCTGGCCCACTGAGGTCTGCTTATCTTCAGGGTGAGGGGAACTCATACCCTGTGGGGCCTGAGATAACTGGAACTACCCCCAGGTGGCTTAACTGTCTCAGAACAGTAGACAGAGCCTGGGCTTAGAGTTAGGTCATGGTTCCAGACTCTGATGTGTCATAAAATGCATGAGAAATCGTGGGTTAAATACATTTGGTAGCAAAATAGACATTAACCCATGTATGTGAGAGGGGCTGTAGAATGACAAAGGGAATTTTGTGCTGTTAAATGAGGGAAGAAATGTAGAAGCGAACTTTAGAAGCAGACTAGCACTTGCACATCAGAAGTCTTGCCCTGGTCAGATAACCTTGTTAGATGGGTCCCAGGCCTCCCCCAGGGACAGCTTAGGGGAATCTTCCTTGTCCTGTACCTGGGGCCATTTGTTCCAACAACACTGTGTCAGTAAAGTCCTAGGAGGAATTTCAGGAATTCCACACCCAGAAAGCCCACTGTCCAGCAGTATCTCAGAAGGGGGTCAGGTGGGGGAGGAGAAACGGTGGGCCCATGTCTAAAAACTCCAGTCCAAATGCAGACCGGACTCACTGCTTTCTTGAGATGCCCCACTGGCCTGTTTCATTAAACTTGGTTAGCATGTTTACTGCTGCTGCCTCACATTGGAAATTTTTTTCTTGTGTGAAGACAAGAAACCTCTGATCCAGGCACCTCCAGTAAGGAAAGCAGTTGGAAGTGTGGCCACCAAGTTGGCCTCACTATTCCTTTTTTTTTTTTAAGCTATGTATTTTTTTATTATTTGAAAGGCATAGTTACAGAGAGAGGGGAAGACAGAGAGAGAGAGAGAGAAAGATCTATACACTGGTTCACTCACCAAATGACCACAATGGCTGGGGCTGGGGCAGATAGAAGCCAGGAACCTGAAATTCCATCAGGGTCTCTCAATGGGAGGCAGGTGCCTCAGTACCGGAGCCATTCTCCACTGCTGCCCCAGGCACATTAGCTGTGAGCTGTATTGGAAGTGGAGCAGCCAGGACTGGATCCAGTGCTCTAATATGGGATGCCAGCATCGCAGGCAGCAGCTTAACCTGCTGCACCACAACACCGGCTCCAATAAACAGTGATTTAGAAGGCTCTGTCAGCACTGTCCAGTAGAACTTCTGCAGCAATAGAAAAGAAATATTGTCTGCATTCGCCCTTTATGATAACTGGTACCTACACGTGGCTGGGGAGCACTCAAAATGAGGCTGGAGTGATTGAGGAATACATTTTTAATTTTATTTTATTTTAATTCATTTAAATGTAGACCATCACATGTGGCTGGATAGGTGCTATCTGTCCTCAGGCCTTCACCTTCCTGACCTCCTCTCCCCACCTGTTAGCCTCTGTCCACCACTTGGGCCTCCTCCTGGCTTTTACTTGGCCATGCCAGAGACACACTCATGTTGGGACCCTTGTGTTTTGCAATTCTCTGTCCCTGGAAAACTGTGCCCCTACATATCTGCTTGCTTTCTTGCTTCCCTCAAGTTTGCATTCAAATATAACCTCTATGAGGTCTTCCCTCTTTGGTCTAAAAACCGCAGCCTTCTCCCCTAATACATTTTCCATCTTCCTTCCTGCTTTATTTTGCTCTTTAACATTCATCACTGTCTAAGCACTCATTTTAATTTATATGCTTATTATCTGTCTCACAAGACTAAATTTCATGAGGTAATGGATTTGTGTTATTGATTACATATTTCCAGCACCTGGAACAATGTTTAAAAGTTTGCTTAAAAGATAGCCAGGGAGGGGCCAGTGACATTGTGGCATAAAGGATTGAGTGTTTGCCTGCAGTGCCAGTGCCCCAGTGGATGCCAGTTCAAGTCCCTGCCCCGCCATTTCCGGTCCAGCTTCCTGCTGGTGCACCTGGGAAAGCACTGGAGGATGCCATAAGTGCTTGGACCCCTGCAGCCACATGGGAGATCCAGAGGAGGCTCCTGGCTCCTGGCTTTGGCCTGACCCAACTGTGGCCACAACATCCAGATGAAGATCTCCACCCTCTCCATCCTTCTCTCTCTGTATCTCTGCCTAAAAAAAAAAAAAAAAGGAAAGAGGAGGGAAAGTGGGAAGTATCACTATGGCCCTAAATTTGTATATATAAAATACATGAAATTTATTCACCTTATGTAAATAAATTTTTAAGATAAATTAATTATTGAAAAAGTAAAAGGTCAGAGGGCCGCTGTTGTGGTTAAACTGCTGCTGTGACACCAGCACCCCATTCTGAGCACCAGTGTGAGTCCTGGCTTTCCAGTCTGGCTCCCTGCTATGTGCCTGGGAAAGCAGAGGAAGATGTCTCGGTATTTGTGCATCCGCACCCACGTGAGAACATGGATGGAGTTTCAGGATCCTGGCTTCAGACCAGCCCAGCCAGGGCTGTTGCAGCCATTTGGGCAGTGAACCAACTTATGGAAGATAGCTCTCTGTCTTTGTAATAGCTTTTCAAACAAATAAACAAAATCTTTAAAAAAGAACAAAATGACCAGCATTCTTGAGCCTCTATCCTGTTGGGTGGTTCTATTGACGCTTACTCTTTTTTTTTTTTTTAAACGTTTATTTATTTATTTGAGAGACAGAGTTACAGACAGTGAGAGGGAGTGACAAAGAAAAAGGTCTCCCATCCATTGGCCAAACAGCCAGAGCTGAGCCCATCCGAAGCCAGGAGCCTGGAGTGTCTTCTGGGTCTGCGATGCAGGTGAAGGGGCCCAAGCACTTGGGCCATCTTCTACTGCTTTCCCAGGACACAGCAGAGAGCTGGATTAGAAGTGGAACAGTTGAGACTAGATTCTGGTGTCACAGGCAGAGGATTAACCCACTGGGCCACAGTGCTAACTCTTGATGCTTATTCTTGATGGTTTCTTCTTGGTGTGTTTTAAATGTCTGAAGTGAACCCTCCTTAACAGAGCTTATTGCCTCCTTGTGAAAACTTATGCTGTTCCTTCTCAGTGGTTTGGCATTTACATCTGTCAGGTACACAAGTAGAATTGCTAGATACAATATGGAACAACACCCTGTTAGTCTTGAATTTCAGATAAACGACAAACACTTTTTTGGTACATGTCACATGCGATATTTGAGACATATTTATACTATAAATTACTCATGTCCTGTATTCCTATTTGCTAAATGTGACAACACTCACACCAGGATCATTTGCTAGCCCTACACTGGTTTTTGATTTTGGGATTGGTAGTTTCTAGACTATGCCTTGTATTGAAAATGTAGACCCAAAATGTGTGAGGCACAGGCCCAGGGGTTTAATTTCTTAGGGGAAATTTCTGTTTTCATGCAGGGCCCAGTCATAATCTCATTGTCTTTCTCTCTTATTGGGAAAGTTTTTATTGTTGTTTACTCTTTCAGTTCTTGCCATGGTCACACAAAATCTTGCCTTCTATCCCTTCATGGAAGTTAAGTTCCCAGCATCTAAGTAACTGAACACTCCCGAAAGAGAGCCAAGCATCAGCTCAAGTGCCTGTCACTGTTTTCCCCTTTCTCTTTATTTCTTATGAGATTAGCTGGGCCTTTTAAAGACTTCTGATTTTATCTAACATTCCTGGGAATTTATAGCAGGCAGACTTTCATCTTATCTAGCACACAACACAATCTTGCTGGAATCATGTCTCTCCAGCAGGTACAGATAGCATGTTTATTGTAAATAGCTTTTTGTTTAATTTATGCTGAAAGTATTTTTCACGGTTGCCATCATTGTAAATGGTTCCCAGCACCCTGCTCATACTTCAAGAACCAGAATGACTTCGTAAGAGAAAGCATGATTTCTGGGGCTAGGACACCTGCGTTGAAACTCTGCTCCAGGCGTAAAGAAGAGTCATTTTTATCTCTCTGTGACTCCATATCATTCTTTCTTTTTTAAAAAAAAATTTATTTCTTTATTTACATTTTATCTGAAAGACAGAGAGAGCAATGGCCAGAGAAAGAGAGAGAGAGAGAGAGAGAGAGAGAGAGAGAGAGAGAGATATCTTCTGTTGGTTGGTTCTCTCCCTAAATATTCACAACAGCCAGGGCCCAGAACTCCATCAGTCTTCCATGTGGGTGGCAGGGATCCAAATGCTTGAGCTGTCACCTGTTGCCTCCCCAGATACCCATTAACAGGACGCTCTTTCAGAAGCAGAGGAGCCAGGGCTTGAATCAGGCACTCTAACGTGGGTTGTGGGCATCACAATTAGCAACTTTACCACTGTGCCAAATGCCTGTTCCTCCTTATTTTTAAGTGGATATAATAATGTATACCTCACAAGGTTATGGTTAAGATGACAAGGGGTTGATATATGTAAAATTTATAGAATTACCTCATTCCATGCTACATGCCATGTTGGTATCAGCTACTATTTTTTAATATGTATTTGTTTATTTGAAAAGCAAAGTTACAGAGAGAGAGAGGAAAAGAGAGAAAGAATATCTTCCAACCTCTGGTTCACTGCCCAAATGGTCACAATGACCGGGGTTGGTCCAAACTGAAGACAGGAGCCAGGAATTCCACCTGG